ACCATCAGAGAGGCTGACTAATACACTCCCAAACCATCAGAGAGGCTGACTAATATACCTCCATACCATCAGAGAGGCTGACTAATACACTCCCAAACCATCAGAGAGGCTGACTAATACACCCCTATACCATCAGAGAGACTGGTTAATACACCCCCATACCATCAGAGAGACTGGTTAATACACCCCCATACCATCAGAGAGACTGGTTAATACACCCCATACCATCAGAGAGACTGGTTAATACACCTCCATACCATCAGAGAGGCTGACTAATACACCCCCATACCATCAGAGAGACTGGTTAATACACCCCCATACCATCAGAGAGACTGGTTAATACACCCCCATACCATCAGAGAGACTGGTTAATACAACCCATACCATCAGAGAGACCCCCATACCATCAGAGAGTCTGACTAATACACCTCCATACCATCAGAGAGGCTGGTTAATACACCCCCATACCATCAGAGAGGCTGACTAATACACCTCCATACCATCAGAGAGGCTGGCTTTTGAACTTTGCACTGATCCAGACCGTCCTTGTCCTGTTTGTCCCAGAGGACACCAGGTCCATGATTTCCACCAACAGAAACGTGGACTGGTCAGACCACAGGACACTTTGAGTTGGTCCATGTCAGATGATCAGGTCCAGAGAAACCAACAGTGTTTCTGAATGTTTTTTGTTTCCATGGTAGATAATCACCTTGTATCTGTAGAGGTGAACTGTGTTCACTGATGATGGTTTTCTGAGGTCTTCCTGAGCCCATGAGCTAACATCAGTTACAGAAAGATGTGGGGTTTTAATGCAGACCTGGCTGAGGGGTCAGAGGTCACAGACTACTGGTTTTCATCCTTGCTGCCTACTTGCACAGATTTGTCCAGATCAACTGAATCTTTGATTATTTTTGAGAATATTAGTCTCTAGGAGGCAGAAAATTTGAATTTAGTCTCTTCTGGTGATGCAAAGATATTGTTACTTTCTGTTAGGGTCAGATTTTTCAATCCATTCAGTTATCTATATTTTCTGTAACATTTCCTGAATTATTACCTCAAAATATTTATGACAGAACTTCTTCATAAGGTCTGGACTTACCAACTACAGTTTCCTCATCTTAACTCTCCTCTGGTCTGGGGTCAAGCTCTGGTTCTCATGGCATGGTCGATGGTAAATATGTGTAAATAAACACCAGTAAAAACAAGAACACCTTCTGTTTGTATGTAATGTGTGAGGTAGTGTGTGTCTCTATAGGTATTTTTTTCTTAAGTTATCTAACTTGTTTTAACTTTATGAGGTACTCTGTGTTTTTCTTGTTTTGTTCGGGGTAGAAGAAGAGGTGGGTTGTCAGAAGAAACATTCAGGTTCTGTCTGCAGAACCAGGATCTTCAGCTCTTTGATCTCCTGACAGGATGTTTTGATCAGGTATTGATCCAGGGTCCGACTGATACCAGAGAGAAGCCCGTTTCAATCAGAACCATCTTAATAAACTTACCAGAAACGTTTAACCTTCCTCCCAGGAACCAGCTAATCCTCGCGCTGCTCAGATCACAATCCTGAACCTGTTCAAACGGTTTCATCCAATGTAGTCTGCTTGCTGCTGCGGAGCCCCAGAACTGGTCCGGGTTTGTGACTGAGAACTGGTACAGGTCCCGGTGGGGCAGCAAGGACAGCTGGGAAGTCCAGAAGTCTGGAGAAGGAGGCGTGGGGAAGGAGGACAGGTACCGAGGTGGCTGGGTCCAGGTCTGCGCCGGTGCTTTGTAGCGAACCAGAAGGGTCCAGAAGAGTCTGGTCCGCCTGCTCTGAGTGGCCATGTTGATCCTGAGCTGTCAGACACAGACTGACACCCTCCCCCTCTTCCACAGGTGTATGCTGCAGGAGGTGGGGCCAAGAGTTCACCTGTTAGATTTAAAAGTTTCCACCAAATCCGGCATTTCTCCTTCAGTAATCCTGAAAAATCAACAACCAATAAGTTTGATAAAAAAATGTGCAGTTTCTTTTTTATTTATAAAATCTAACTATGTCTGTTGGTTATAAATCAATATTTAAAAAATGATCAGAGTAGAAATGTAAGATTGTTGTGGTAAATATTACCTTACATTAATAATGCTTTATTACAGCCCCATAACTAAAGGTTATATGTTGATCTGAATTTTAACAGATTTATGAAACTGGAGTCTGCACAGATTATTTTTTATTCTACAACACTTTTTGTTGGTTGTTAAGAGAATGATTTTCCTCAGTGTTTTACTGTGAAGATAAACAGCTGGATACACAGCTCTCGTCTCAGACGGTGGAGTACAGATTAGAAAAAACACTTTGCTTTGTCATCATGTTTTGAATGAGTCAGTTTGTCAGCCGTTTGTGAGCAGCAAAAGGAAACATGCAGAGTTTTGGTCGTTGAGTTCTAATTTTTTAGCCACATTCTTCTTGATTCTTTACGTCTGTAGGTATGGGATGGGTTTTGGGTCCTCAAAATGTTGTTGTTGTTGTTGTTGTTGTTGTAGCCACTGATTCAGTTTAGTCTGGTTGTTTGTACAGCAGTTAACAGCACAACAGGTACCTGAACTCTGTAAAACCATTTGTAAACTCTTTTTTTGTATTTTTTTACATTTAACAACTGTAGCAGAGTTTGTTCTGGTAATCCAAACACAAATTACTTCAAATAAACTGCAGTCTGTGCTCCGCTACCAAAGCTTACTGCTACTTCCAGTGTTTCTGACAGGAAACTGTAACCAACAATCATTTCGACAGTAGCAGCCCCAGGAATGAAGTGGATATAGCACCTTTCTATCCACCCAGGATACTCAAACTTTACGTCGACTGAGGGTCTGCCCCCAACCTTTCCCCACTCTCACACCCATCTGTGATCAAGTTCCTGGAGCAAGCCGAGGACCACGCAGAAGGAACATCCATATTCTGAATGCTGGTTTTGGGGACTAGATTCCTCGGGCTCATTCTTCAGATATTCACACAAGTGCATACAACACTCATGGCTTCAGATACACGCCCCCTAAACTCACTTACTCCTCTGGCTAATGAATGTGAGGGCCGTGAGCGCCACCTTCAGGGCCTCAAAAGAACAACAGTTTTTAACTTTGGGCCGCAGAGGGCCGTGGGACCACATTGATTTTGAATAAGGTGCAATACACTTTCTCACCACTAGTAGCAGTAGTGCACCACTCAGATGTTTAACAACTTTTTAATATGTAGAAGAAGAACCTTAGAAACCTGCTGAGAATGGAAACTTATTTTAAATGAAAAGTAGAAACAAAAATGAAAGTAACTCATCAAAAACACCAAAGTTTGTCACTAATATGAAGAGCAGCTTCTCTTTTTACCATGTAATATTTTAAAAGTTCAAAACATTATCAAATACTGTTGCAGATACAGCTATATTTTAATTTGCACTTTAAATTAATTTTTGTAGTTTATTTTTAAACATTTTGAATGTATTTTAAAGAAACTTTTGTTGGGATCTAAGAGTTCGTTAGTTCCAGTATTCATCCACTAGATGTCCTCCTGGAGCACAGCCTGCAGGAGGCAGAATCTCCAGCAGGTGTTCAGTCCCACACCTGTAATTCATCTGCCTTCATCAAGAGGAGGAAAAGAGGAGTCTGCAGTCAGCCCTTTGATGCCTGAGTGTTAATTCTTGTGGTTACCTCCATTGATGGTTTGGACCGGTTCCCCTGAGGTCCTCCAACCTTAAAGATCATCTCCATCTCTCTGTGCTTTTTGGACTCCTCCGCCCATGGCTGCCATCTCAGGACTCCTCTCTCCTCAAGTACGTAACCTGTCTGCCCTCCAACCTGCTCATCATTCCTTGGCTCACAGACTCAAACCCTAGGATCCCACTCACCTCTCCCTGGACGACCTGCTTCATCTTCATAGTAAGCTAAGCTCCTGTTCTTCTGTGTTTATTATATACACCTTCCTGGTCTCATCACCTTTCGTCCTCCACCAGTGTTCCTGACCCCCTGCCCTGTCAGCCGTTTTTCTTTGCACTTTTTGGCGCTCCGTTGATGAGAGAGCAATGTTCTGTAAAAGCTCCAAATAAATATGCCTACAAAGAGGCTGAAGAAACTCCAAGGCTCACTTATTTTTGTTTCTCTGCAACGTCGACACCTCTGCGCTACACTCCGTTCAAAAGGTTATGGACCCTGGAGGCAGAGCAACGACGAGAGAACGGTTTGTGTTTTTGGAGAAGAAAACCACATGGAATGAGCGGGAATATGTGCTAAGTCTGTTAGCTTTGAGAAAAGTGAGTGCATAGAGGAGTTTAATGCGACATATTACGCGGGAGCTGCAGGAGCGATAAGGTTAGCATGATGGCTAACAGAGCTGCAGGAATAATGGCGTCTCTACAACTTTCCTTTGATGGATCGGAAGATAAGTATGACTTGTGGGAAACAAGATTTCTTGGCCATTTGCATATTCTGAAGCTAAAAGAGACCATTTTGAAAGAACCTACGAGTGATGAGCAGCGAGCACCTGATAACCAGAAAATGCTGATGGCTGTGCTGAGCTAATAAGGCTAACAGATGATAAAAGCCTGTCTCTGATAAGGCATGAATCCGCAGATAATGGCAGAAAAGCCTTAAAGATATTAAAAGAACACTATTCAGGAAAGAGCAAGCCAAGAATAATAAACCCATATACATCTTTGACAAACCAAAGAACGTCTGACAAGGAGACTGTAACAGATTACCTGATCAGGGCAGAGAACATCATTACAGGATGCAGGAGAGACCATAAGAGATGGGCTAATTATAGCCATGATACTAAATGGTCTACCAGACTCATTTAAACCATTGGCTGTTCATGTGACACAAAATGAAGATAATGTTACCTTCACAAACTTTAGAAGATTAAGAGTCAATGAAGAAGGAGAAAAAATGAACAAAGTAGAGAGTACAGATAATGTGATGAAAACACACGTGAAACTAAGCAAAGGATCCAGCAAAACCCTCACTGCCAACAGAAAAGACGATTATTCAAGCATAAAGTGCTACAAATGTGGATTAAAAGGGCACAAAGCAAGAATGTGTTCCAGAAAGGTATGGTGCAGCTACTGCAAAAGAAATACACACCATGAATCTGTATGCAAGAAAAAGGAGGGATTTGAAAGTGCCAGAAAAGTCTCAGAACGTCAAGATGAAGAAAATGACAGACTTTTCAAAGCCAAACACACAAGAGAAAACAAGACAGCAGACAATGTGAAGAAGAAAGGTATTATGGTAGACGCAGGAGCAACATCCCATATCAATGACATCTCAAAGTTTATAAACTTTGACAACACATTCCAACCTGAGAGACACTCTGTGGAGCTAGCAGATGGAACCAGGTGCACTTGAATGACACAACAAAGAGGGACTGCAGTGATCTACCTTCTAGACAACGAGGGACAACAGCACAGAGCACAGCTTCGAGAAGCACTCTACATACCATCGTATCCACAAGAGATCTTTTTGGTCACAAGAGCCACCAATGGAGGAGCAACTATTACATTCCAGCAAGGGAACTGTCACATGATGGATAAAGATGGATTCAGGTTTGACATATATGAGAATGGTAACCTGTTTTATTTCCCAACAGTTGAGGTTGTGAGAGATGAATGTAAAGTATGCCATGATTTACAGACCTGGTATGAGATTTTGGGCCACTGTAATTATGATGACGTGCAAAAGCTTCAAATGATAGTTAAAGGTATGGAGATAAAAGGAAGCAAAAATAAACCAGAGCAATTATGTGATGTGTGTACAAAAGGGAAGTTTACCCAGACTAGAAACAGAGAGCCAGACAGAAAGGCTGACAGACCTCTACAACTAGCTCACACTGATCTATCTGGCCCTATGCCAACACCTAGCATAGAAGGGTATACAGTGGTTTGCAAAAGTATTCATACCCCTTGAACTTTTCCATATTTTGTCACATTACAACCACAAACATAAATATATTTTACTGGAATTTAATGT